TGAATACATCACTGCCTGCAACAAATGAAATAAACCTATATAAACGTATCTGTGGACATTTTATTATTCTTCTTTTTTGTATACTGGTGTGATGATCCATGTCTTAACTTACCCCGTTCAACAGTCTCCATGTTGTCTGGTTGTGAATTGTCTGCTGTCTGGGTGTAAACTATGATACAATCATACAGTGCTGCAAAAAGATGTTGCTGAAATTTCTTTCTTTTTTTCATGTTTCCAATGTAAAATAGTTTTAAAATTTTACAAACAAATGTAAATTTACCAATTAAGATTATCACAAGGTTTATGGTTCCATTTGCACAGTGAAACCAAAAATCCCAGAACACCTGGATGATTACAGCTACAGGTTTCCAATGTAAAAAATTCCGTAAAATTTACGGTAAGAAACCGGCAGCTGTGGTTGCCAGAATTTTACCGTAAAAAATACAGTAGCAACGTTTTAGGTTTTACACACCGTCATTTCATTAACTGATGTAATGTTGATATACCAACCTATTGTGGGAAGTCGTGGCCTAATGGTTAGAGAGTTGGTCTCATAACCCAAAAGGTTGTAGGTTCGAGTCTCGTACCGGCAGGGATTGTAGGTGGGGGGAGTGAATGTACAGCGCTCTCTTCCACCTTCAATACCATGACTGAGGTGCCCTTGAGCAAGGCACCGAACCCCCAACTGCTCCCTGGGCGCCGCAGCATAAATGGCTGCCCACTGCTCCGGGTGTGTGTTCACGGTTTGTGTGTGTTCACTGCTGTGTGTGTGCACTTTGGATGGCTAAATGCAGAGCACTAATTCTGAGTATGGGTCACCATACTTGGCCACATGTCACTATTGAAGTACTGAAATCTGTTTTGCACTATTGTAATACACTGATAACCACCAAATGCAGGTGGTGATGAGAAAGTCACATGATGAACCAAAGCCCACCACAAGCAGCTTTTAAATAATAACATATGGAAGGTGCACAGTGTCAGTCACACAAACACTAAACACCATCATGGTAACACACATGAAACTGAAATAATGCAATAAAAATTCATTTAACAACTTTAGGTGAAACACACAACCCTAATATACAAAACTGATAAAAAAAACTAAGAAACATCGTTATTTCAACAAAAAAACATGAAATTTTAAATGTAACAGGGAATTCTGGGAATGTCAATTTACGGTTATTCACTGTAAATTATACGGTATTTTTCACTTCCAAAAACGGTATACTACCGTAAAATTAATGTCCAATACATG